TGTGAAGAGACATGTCCACAGCTTAATCCCGTTAACTTGTGGATTGAAGAAGCAACTTCTTTTCTTTTCTCTGCTTTTAAGCTTACGTTAATCATAGATACCATTACCATATGAAGAACAAAAAGATTTACAAGATATGGACATTTTGATAAGACATTCTTATTTTATTTCCCAAAAGCACAAGTATATGATGTGTGTTTTCCTTTAGGCCTTGTTAAATGTTGTATTTCTGAGAAACTCAATAATGAATTGGTATTTCATGGGTCCCCAATAATAGCCATATCCTTGTGATCGATTCTAGGCTTGATGTCAAGTTCGAGTGTAGGGCAATGTGTTGAGGGATGGCATTGTTGGGTTTGTGTCTATCCAAGTTATTATAGGCTTTGTGAGATCAAATAATCTTTCAGCCAAAGGACCAAAATCAGTCTAGTTATCCCACCAACTTGTCATCCTTCACTTCTCACAAAACATTATTTTCCATTTTATGCCAGATGCCTACAGGTCTTCTCCAAACAAAAGAATGGCCATATCTCCAATTTTTCCTGGCTTGGTGAGAATGGCTACCAAAGTTTGCCTAGTAGCACATTTAGTTTCACGAACACTAAAAACATGTGCGTGCGCGCACACACACTCCTAAGGCGATTTTTGCAACCACAACTGTATATTTAGGAATACAATGTCCTCAGTAACCTCAAGTTGGTAGCATCACCTAGTTCTTGTTAGTTTCAAGCTAGAGTACAAATTATGAAGGCTTATTTCCACTGTTGTTCTTGGTGATTATAATGCCTTGCCAAGCATTATATGACAAGATTTAGTTTCAAGGTTTTGCTTTCAATCGCAAATTAATGCTTGACATTATCTTGCAAATGGTGTAGGCATAACGCATACACATTAATTTTAGAAAAATATTGTTTACACATAATTTATTTTTTCCACAGAGCAGTATCGAATAACACTACTTGGTTGAAGGTGTTTCCACCACAGATCAGCTTATGGCAATTTGGTTAAGGTTGAGGAGTTACAGGAATTACTATCACAAAAAAGAAGGGAATTTGCAGCAACTCTAATTATCTTGGAATGGCTGTATGGATATAGAAGATTTATATAGCCGATTCCAACAAGCTCGTGATTGAGGTGCAGTTGATTGAAAAAAGGATGTAAAATATTCTTATTCCACATTGTAAATAGCAACCCAATGCATGCTTCCTCCAGGAAATCCCTTTTGCACATGGACAACAGAGCATCAAATGTTCAAATGCACAAATATGCAATTGGAATATGCTTATATAATATTATTATAGGATGTTAACTTTTCTATTTTGACATGGAAGTCCATTACAATTTTAATTTGGACTTGATTTCTTAGAATTGGTTATTGTCTTTGATATTCCCTGTGACACTAATCTAAACTTTTGCTATATTTCCGGTATGACTCGATCAACATAACTATTCAGATAATATATATTGACTGTACAACTGAAACAAATACCAGAGGCGAAGCCAGGATTTAAAGTTACTGGGTTCGGGATTCTTGTTCTTTTAAGTTACTTGGTTCTAAATTAAAAATTTGTACATATTCAATGAATTTCATAAGATAAATACTGGGTTTGGACAAAAGTTATTGGCTCCGCCGAACATTGAAGCAAAAGGAGGCAATGGAAGATCATATATTGAATGGAAGAAGGTCCTACAACACACACTTGAATCAAAAGGTAGCAACCAACAACTAGCATTATAGTATTAACACAACAAACACACCAAAAAGAGCCAAAACCCCTAGCTTTCCAAGCAATGGACGTCACAAACTGTACAAAACAGATAATGTCATTTTTTCTGAAGTTTATTAGAACTACTCTAAGAAAAAGACAACCTGTACAAACATGATAGTCATGGCCGTGACTTTATGCCATTGTATATATCCTTTTGATAATTTACCTACGTTATGCAGTAGTGAACTCATCATATATCCACTGAATAACTGTAGAAATGGATGTGAAGGTCCTTCGTCACTTTTGGTAACATGTCCCAGATTTTTAGTAGTTGAAAGCATGTAGAGTTCTCTAGCAGAATACCTACAATCCAGATTAACTTCAGGTGCTTGACACTGTAGCTCTCTAATAGTTCAGATGACTATATATTGCTGAATTTGTTGCGCTTTTCTGACTTGTGCCAACCACTTGAAAGCTTCACCAAAAGTGAGATCCGGCCATCCATTTTGAGAAAGTGAATCTGTTACTAGTTTATAACAGCAAGGAACCTGTCATTGCAAACAAAATAACAGAACAACAACTCAAAATAAAGACTACCAAACACCAGAAATATTCGGCTTACTAGCAAAATCAATATTCAACTCATCTGTTTTTTGGCCATCAATATTCATGAAACAAACAAACATGCAAAAAATACTTTACATTATTTTCCCAAGTAATCCAACTGACTCAAAGAAAAGAAACTTTAAACGTCAATTATAAGCCAGATGAAGCAGCTTACCTTCCACTTGGCTGCTTTAAATAGAGGGGGAGTCTGTCCTGAGTAATGTTTCAATCTGGCCAAGATCAATGGTAGCACTCAAAATGCCTTGACTCAAACCCTTGTCTTCATTGACATCATAGAAACAACCCCGCGCCTTGGAGTCAATGACTAAATGCTACCAAATGGAACCACTGTTATACCCTATTTTAACACGGGTCAAATTAGAGTGTAACATATTGATAAATTTAAGGTTTAATTTTGTTACCTAATTATTTTAAAGGTGAATTAGGACACCTAATAACTAAATAATGCAGTAAAGTTAACTCAATTTTATGGTCCGCTTAACTTAAGATTATGGGTAATGGTTCTAATTAATCTTATAGGGAAGGTTATTAAAGCACCCTATATGATCCATAAAATACGGTTAACCGGCCAAACTTAGGTTAATTAATCTAAATTAATTGTTATACGAATTGGAAGTATTGTTAGCTAATGATTGAAGTAAAATTTCTTTCGTTGATAAAACTGAAGTAAACTTCTTTTATTTAAGCTTTCAAAAATAAAAAACGTGGACCTAAAATAGTTAAAGCAAATTGTAGCAAATGTGGTGAACTTCTGCCACTTTCTCATTGAAAACTAGATTGTTGAGACAGACAGATTTTTTAAACTTCTTCAAAAATGTTAAAGTTCACAGTTAAAAGAACACCAGGTTAAGCTTAATGTTTCAATTTGAAATGACTGAATTAAAAAATAATTACTGCAAAGATAAACCCTTACTTGGTATATTTTAAAATCTGTAGAGAAAAACAATAGTCAGTAATTTAAATATATATTTGTCAAGCTAGGCGTCATTTTAAAAATCATTTCCAATTATTAACCTTAAACCTTTCAGGCAGATATAAATTATAGGTAGTTAATCATGAGTTTCTGCTAACTATTTCCAACATGGAGATAAATAACTACGCAAACAAATTTATAAAGTCAGACAACAGACAACATAGATGATAAAAGGCAAACAACGGGAAAAGAAAGGAAGAAGGACGCCATCGGCATCCCCAAGCGCTTCGCTTGTTTTCTCGCTATCCGGTGCATTCTAAGAAAAATGAATTGTGTGATGACTTCATGCTCGGGTATGGGAGTCTTGCCTTAAGACTCCATTGGCTCAAAAGTGCATATGCAAAAAGAAAGAAAGGGAAAAGAGAATTAGAAGAGAAACATTATTTGTTAAAGACATATAAAGATGAGGCATACAAAATAAGATTGCATCTTTCTTTAATTTTGGTTCAATCTAGTAATTCTATTTTTTACTGAACAACATTGTAAGTACCTTTTAGCTGTTAATAGAAAATTATCCCAATGAACAAATCATGCTTATTTCCTTAAGGCCATTAAAATAAGCTAAACTTAATTCTTAAAACTATAAGAGATTATGAGAGCAAAATTATACGGTTATTTAACGAACACAACAAACAGTTTCATCTATATCATAATTAGACGATCATACTACATGTAATAAAGACAACGTTAACGCTACAAATAGGAGGAGACGCACACGATCAGTCATGAGAAACAGTGAAGAGCTTCTTGTATTTCACAAACAAGCACACCCCATAAGCATGAGTTTCTAATTAAGGATCTTAACAAACTAACTATCAAAGATCCATGAAGGTTTCACAAGTTGGTGTTTCAGGCACAAACATGGTAACAATGTAAGAAAGATTCACAAGCTGGCTTTTCAGACATAAAACAAGAAGGGGATAAATGTTCATATGTTTAGGCCAAACAATAACAGGAAGTGCGATCCCTAGATAAGTCTATATGATGGCGAGATTTCAACGAGACTAAACACTGTTATTTAAGTCATTTAGCTTAGATCTTTACTAAGTTATAACATGAAGAGAACCTTATGTCAAAATCTTTAGTAGATATTTTGTCCAGTAAACCAAACTAACTTTTAGCCACATTTTCTATACTTCAATGACACCATCTTAAGAAAGGATCTCGAAAACCAGTTCCGTTAAAACACATATGAAATTCTCCAGTCATAACAGGTGCAAACACTATAAATACGCCTTCACACTAGTGTAACAATAAGAGAGGATCACAACTTGGCTTGAGTTGTATTATTTGAAGAAGGATAACGTTGATCAGTTGTAGTATATTATCAATTGGTTTTGTCCACTTGTGTCCTAGTTTGCATAGGATTGTTATCCTCTGTATATAACTTATTTTAGGACTCTTACATGATTTGTATGTATAAATATGGCGGAGTATTTTCAATACAATTATCAGAAAGCCTTTCATGGTATCAAGAGCCCTAAGAGGTTAAAACAACCCAAATAAAAATCGCAGAAGCTTTGAAACAGCTTCAATGGTGGACGACAACATCTCATCAGGTTCCTCAGGAACAGCTGCTGGAACACAGACCTCCATGGTCACCACTCTACCGTCTCCTAATCTTGCTCATCAACTACCGGTTAAACTTACATCGTCATAATTTTTTGACGTGGAAGACACAGTTTCTTCCGATGGTTCGAGGTTGTGGACTTGGTCACCATATTGATGGTAGTCAGCTGATTCCAGATCAGTTTCTGATTTGTAATCAACAATCCAGACTACCACGTTTGGATAAGAGAAGATCAACTTGTGTTAAGTTGGATTGTTGCTTCCGTGTCGGAAGGAATATTGCCCCAACTAGTTGGCGCCGAGACAGCCCAAACGGCTTGGAACAAACTAGTTGCTGCCTATGCCTCAGGTTCGAAGCCCCAGATTCGTGAGTTGAAAACTCAGCTACACACATTGCAGAGAGACAATTCTAGTATTGAGTCTTATGTGCAAAAGGCAAAGGAAATTGTGGACAAGTTGGCTGCATTGCAGCATCCGGTTCCTAATGATGATTTAGTTGAATTTGTTCTTGCTGGACTGGGACCAGCCTATCGTCCCTTTACAAGATCTCTTGAATCGCGTCAAGAGGATATCTCGTTTGATGCTTTATATGGATTATTGTTGAATGAAGAACGACAATTAAAGAGAGATGAGACTCTTAATGTCATAGCACCCACAGCACAATTTACTCAGAGTTCTATTGCCCCCTCTCGTGGCTGTGGTAGAGGTAGAGGTAATAGAGGTCGTGGACGCTCTCAAAATTATGGTTTTCTTCCGATGACTCAACAACGTGGTTTCCGGAACACCACTCAATCCTCTAACGTTCTCTCTTCAACCTTAGATATGTCAACAATTATTTGTCACAATTGTGCGGGAAAGGGCCATACGCACGAGTTTGCCCATCACCCAAGACATCTAATGGCACTCGAGTTTTTGGACGACCTGTCTCTAACCTAGCAAACACCCAAACTCCACCTACCCAAAATTGGTTGATGGATAGTGGCACCACGCATCATCTGACATCTGATCTAGAAAACCTTGGCATTGACTCTGAATATCAAGGTCCTGAGGAAGTAACTCTAGGTAATGGCTCTAAATTACCAATCTCTCATACAGGTGCAAGTTCTATTGTTGCTTCTGACAAAAAATTCAAACTTGAAGATATTCTTCATGTCCCTTCTGCTACTCAAAATTTAATTTCCATTAGTTCCTTTACTAAATCTAACAATGTTTCTGTTGAATTCTTTCCTAACCACTTTTTGATTAAGGATTTGGCAACGAGGGTAAAACTAAAAGGGACTGATTGCGACTAGTTCGGAGCTAATCAAATCTTATAAGCATGGTCTCTAAGTTTCAAGCAAAATCTAAGGCCGGGTATCCTTATAATAAGGAAATATACATCAGTTAACCTATAAAAGTTGTATTTCTTTTATAACAGAGCATATGAGCCTTTCATCCATATTAACTAATCAGAAATCGACAAGAAACATTCCAGATAATTAATCGAATAACAAAAAATTAAGAGCTCATTGCCAACTAGATACCGAAACATTAAAACACTAAAATTCCAGAAACGAAACAAGAAGAAAGATACTGACCTTTTGCGGGGCAGTGAACCGAGGCGCGGATCTTAGATGCACTATTGAGCTTCGACCTCGAACCCGCTTCTACGAACAACTAATAAATGTTGAAGCGAGCAAATTAATGGATATGTTATGATTAAAAGAGAATCAAATAGAAGTTAAAAGGTCGCAAAATGATAACACTAGGTTTTAGAGAAATATTTTTTAGACTAGTAAAAGTATAAGCTTCTGAATGACAGCCGAAGCTTAAGGATTTTTAAGGGAGAGGTGCGGCTGAAGCTTTCAACTTTGGGGGTGAAAGTGGGCGGCTCTGAGCTTCAGGATTTTTAGGGGGTAAAAATCCTCCGTCCTGTACTTTCACTGAATGACAGCTAAAAAAAAACTAAACTCTCCGTCCAAGTTTACGTAATGATTGTGGCATGAAACAAGTCAGATATTTATGTGGCTATAAATCATCTCGTTAAGAGCAAAATAAGAAATTTGAGGTTAGATTGTTTGTGGCTCGACTAAAGAAGAATAGGCAGAGGGAGTATAAGATAAGAATAGCCAATTATAACCATCCCTAACATCAAAATATGTTACATGTAATATTGTTGTCCAGCAAAGTAGTATCTTGAGTCAGTGCTGCATTTGCTCTCTGACGATTAGAAAGGAAACCTTTAAGAAATCTCTTCTCATACGTTGCTTCTTTCACATTCGGACCATCCATAATTTTGTTCCGTAACTTACTTCTCCTATTGTTTTGTACTCCTTCATCATCATTGCCTTTCTCGCTAAAGATAGATCCTTAATGCTTCCTTGCTCTTCCTCCTCATCATCATCCGTGTCATGCATGGTCCTTCTTTTAAAATTTCTTATCCTATGTATTCACGCTATAGCTCTTCAAGCAAATTAAACATATCATGGACTGTAAACTATTTTTCCATCCATGATTAGCAAGAAAGAGCAGCAACACGGTTTTCAAGAAATCAGATCTTCTTTAAATTTTTTAAATGAGGAACTTCCTATTATAATACAAGTGTAGCAATATAATATTGTTGAGGTTTCTTTAAATTTTTTAAGATTACAAGTGCCCAGAAAAGCAAAAAGATAAGTTATTAAGTCAAGATTTTCTATGTAGTCTAACTAATTTATTTAGTACCTTATGGTCATGTATATCGCGTTCATATGTTTGAAAATTTAACTAAACGCTCTTGAAAGATGGCACTGTTTAGCTGTAAATGTTCGAGGAAGAGAGCATAAATGCCACGTTTCTAAATACGTTACACCAAATCAATTGAAAAACATTGTTGCAATGTGTAAAAATTTATCCTATATCATCTACCTAATAAAATTACTCGATAAAATTTTTTAAATCTACTTCTTTGTTTGTACCTATGTCACCTTATTACATGAAAAATACTATTTTGATATTCGATTTGTACAGTAATCTATACTATATTAAAAGCACGAAGGCCCTATAAAAATGTCATTCGCCTTTTTTACCCTTCGTAAGTGCATTATATGTTGGATATAATTGTAATTATAATAACTATTTTTTTGGGAGAAAAAATAAAATTGTCGTGTACTTACTTAGAGTTTACATTGTTTGGGATTCTTTGGTTTTTGTTTCCTTTAGCTTTAGGATTCTTAAGATTCTTTTTTTTTTTTTTTTAGTTATGATATTTTTCTTTCGTTGTCCCTTTTTGTACTGGTCTATTGTTCCTTTTGTGTCTATTTAGCATTCAATTTCTATGGTCTCTTTGGTGTAGGTTTAGTATGCAATATTTAAATTGGTTAGTTATTTTTATTTTTGTATTATATTCAATATTTTTCGCATTATATTTAGTCACGATATTAAATTATAGTAAAACTTTTTACTGAGAATAAAATTTCAAACTATATTTTTCATTGGTCAAGTTAATATATGGAAGCAACATTTAGAATAAGGCAACATCTATTATATCATAAATGATCACATAAGTAATCGTAATCTCTAATATTCAATTAGTGCACAAAAAATTTAAGATTGTGTTCCATAATAATACTATAGTCAAGAAATGCAACAATCAACTTTTCACTAATAGTTTTTTCAAACAGTTTCGTTTCGTTCGAAGAGGTAGTCTAACCAATGGAACAATATTTGGTAATTTCTTCAAATTTCATTGATTAATCTTACATTATGAATAATATTCTACTCTTATTGGCTATATAATTCTTAGTGATAATTATTTATATAGTTAGCCAAATAGAAGCAACAATTATCAGTTTCATAATTTTATAATTTTTTTGTTAACTTTTATTTTATAACTCAAATATAACTTTTAAAATAATATTATGTGATCTTTAAAAATTAATCCTTGAGTCGAGGTTCACGCGCAACGCGCGTATCCTGACACTGGTACTATATTAAAAGCACGAAGACCTTAGCGAAATATTGTTCGCCTTTTTTACCCTTTAAAAGTAGAGTTCACATTGGATAAAATAGTAATTATAATGTAATTATTTTCCTAATATCTATGACTTTAAAATTAACTAAATTTTACTTATTAAATACTTCCTTATTCGAACTATGTAAAAGCTCTTAATATTTAGGAATCTAAAATTGAATAAGATTTTACTTAAAAAATTTCTTATTTAAATTGTATAACTATTTTCCTTAAATCTGACTTTTCCACGTGTCTAAGTTGTTGATATTTCCATGTTTCCTTAAGTCTGACTTTTCCACGTTAGGAATGGTAGTGTAATGAAAATATTTTTCCAATTTTTTTCTTAGTTTTAATTTTATAGAGCTAAACACCTAAGAATTATTAAGCATGTTTTCAAATTCTAAATTTTGTATATTTTTTGGACCGTGTGAGTAGTGTTAATTCTAATTTTTCACATATGCATAAAGAGTGCTAGCGAAATATCGTTCGCCTTTTTACCCTTTAAAAGTAGAATTTACACTGGATAAAATAGTCATTTAATTAATTTTCTAATATGTAGGAATATGCATTTAATTATTTTCCTAACAACTAGCACTTTGAGTTTTTAATGTTATCATTTAATTATTTTCCTAAAATTTAGTACTTTGAAATCAACTAAAATATTAGTACTTATTAAATATTTCCTTATTTGAACTAGAATTATTTTTCTTCAATTATATTTGAACTCCTTTCCTTGTGTGTATGGACGTACAATATTAATTTGAGATATGATTGTCACTATAAATTTGTGAATCAATTTTTATTTAAATTAAGGGTTTTACCACTTAAAAATATTTTTTCCCCTAAGACTCTTACTGTTGTGTATATTTGAAGAGTAGTTAGCGTAAAATATAAATATGATAAAGAAACTTAAAAATGCAAATCTTAGATGCTTTGAAGTGCATTATGCATTTATAATTACCTCCAAGATCATCAAACAAAGTTAATAACCATTCATATATTATAGAACAATACTATTAAATATTTAGCTTAGGGACTTGGTTTACCGCAGTTTAAAGCAATTTAGTTATAATTTTATTTCTTTGACAAATGTAAATTTTATTTTTCAAAGCAATTTTATTTTTATTTTGTAAATTTTTAAATATTTAGAACTTCAAAATCAGCTAAAAGTTTGGTTATTTACTTTTTACTTATTTGAATCTTGCAAGAACTCCTAATATTTAGGGATTTAAATGAAGTGAGATTTTATTATATTTTGCTTCCTTATTTAAATTGTGTAAAGCAACTATATAAAGTATTATTTTTCCAAAGAGAATCGCATAATGAATAAATTTCTAAAAGGAGGATTTCAAAATTTTTGCTCGTGTATTTTTCTACTCTATTAACTTTTACAAGAACTTATAAAGCTTCTTTATGCTTCTTTTGCAAGCATCTCCTTCAATTGTGGACATTACAGTTTGAAGTATGTTTCGCTAAGTACTTGGTAATCGGAAATATTCAATGAAACACGTCGACTTTAGAGGTTTTATCCCGATGAATGAACCCGTTTTGATTTCAGTAATTTATTCTCTTATTTTAATATTTGTAAGTTTTATCTTCCTTTTATAATTTCATACTTAAATTTACCGCATACCACGATATAAAGTATTATGGTCATACCTCAGGAATTTTGCAAAGTGCAAGCTACATTGATCTCTCCCCAAGTATCAAGGTATCATATCTACAAGTAGTATACTTAATAAACTCAATAGTATTTGTTTGGTATTCCTACGGTTATCAAAAAATTATTTTCTTTGATCCTTCGGTGCTCTTAATAAGATTACGTCTTTCTATTTGTTAACAAGAGATATAATTTTCTAATGTGACTTAACTTTTCTTAAATACTTTTGTCTCTTCTATTTTTGCTTGCTTATATTTTTCGTTTTTTCTTTTTTATGTTGTTTGATATTTAGTGGCCGAGTCACACTCAAATGAATGAAAATTTTGAAAATTAAAATTAATGCGCAAATAGGGAAAAATATTTCTTTCCTATGTATAAGCTTTTGATTTTCATCTACTTTTTCAAGTTTGAAATTTTTGTGAAACACTATTTGTAATATAATATGTATGTAATATTTTAAGAAAATATATATTTATTGAGATAGGGTACACGTGCAATACGCGTACCCTAAGACTAGTTTTACAAAATGTAGCTGCCGCCTTTTTGATGTAAACTTGTCTAATCAACTCATCTTTGAAACACTATAAATATCTCATTTTATAACGTGCATAAGATTTTTTTCATTAGTAGAACCAATTACCAAATTAAAAGTTGAACATCTA